TGGTAAACCTAAAAGCACTGAATGTCCGTTTCGTCTTTTTGTAGGACTCCTCAGCAGTGCGCATCCACGATCTCACCTCCCGAGCGAGATTAGAACCCAGAACCTATCAATCTTGCGTCAGAGCACTTAACCGATATAAGTAATAAGTAATAGAACTCACGTTTAGGAGTCGAATTTCTAAGAGCACTATACAAAAACAACTCCCTTAATTTAAGAATCATAGAGCTTCAATTGAAATGACATGGTTATATAAGAGAGATAAATCAGACAAGATGAAGTGAACAATGTTTATTGATAACAATAATTAACAAGAGGTGGATTGAACGTTCAATACTCAATTCATGATCATAGAGTATTGTCCAATTGAGCATCACTGGTAACATCTGATCATTAGTTTATCACTTATTAATCTAATCTATTTCTCTAGAGATTCGAATATAAACCATTCATCATTATAAGATATTATCAAAAATATAAATACACTACTGAAAAAAGTAATCAGTCGTACAGCATAATTATAAGACTATCCACTGATGGATAGTGGCTAGCGGTGGAATCCAGGACGCGAGTTTCGTCCTATTAAGGACTCGTCAGCTGGATGTATCTGTATATCAGAGTTGATGTTCACTCTGGGACTCGAACCCAGTACTGTTCGCTTCAAACGCCATCGCATTATCCACTTAGCTACTGAGTCCTGATAGCCCTCTGCTTGTGCAACGGGAAGATACAAGTAAACAACAACAGGTAAATAGTATCATATGAGTTTTAAAAAAAGGACCTTCATAGAATTATTGATTCATTCACAATAATTACTCATTACTGAAATTTAATCTAGTTCATTAAATACATTCATATCTTCGAGATCTGAGATTTAACCCATGATCTTTAATCCTGTTCAAAAATGTTTAACTTCTAGAAAATTGACTCGTGATCCAATGGTGTACATGTCTAATATGATTATCTTCTATTGCCTAAAATGGATAATTGTCGGATGAATGTCAGGAAATGAGTTACAATAATAACATCCTCAACATTTTCCTTGACCATAGCCTAGATTTCGAACCTTTCCATGTAATCCTCAAAACATTAGAATCTGAAGGTATGTTTTATCGCTCCATTACAGGTTTCATGGCAACGTCAATATAACAATAAGAATCATTTGAGTTGTTGTATAAATTACGAATATCAGAAATAACGCAATTTAATCAAAACGTATCGTAAGGAGATGCAGTTTCATGATAGCTGGTGACCAACGATCGATTCATAATCCATTTGTTCCCTCACGATACTGGAGCTCATGTGCACCATTGGTTTGGAATCCGGATTTTCCAACTCCCCTAGGTGGACTCACTGTGTCCACCAACCCGGTTAATGCACCGAACATTTCCTTTTCGTCCTCTCAATTTCGTTAACAACAGTAATGCCACGAGAAGGCAGTGAGTAGAGCTTCCATGTCAGAGGCCATGTGAGAGCATTTCGCAAGGGAAAGCGTACTCTCTCCACTCTCTGCCGTACCAGGGCATTTGGGGTCAAGAAAGATTTCATTTCATATGGTACACACATCAATAGTAACTATTTGTAAATCTACACCATTTGACATCAAACTCCGCCTGTAGCATTATCATCATTATCATAAATTTCAATGAAGATCTATTTAGACTACCAAAATGTTGATTGTCTGATTTGATAGCTAACTTAATGAGAATTAAAATTTATACAATTAAGGATCAGTATATGTAACTGAGGAAACTGTTTTTTAATTGCTCAAAAACCTCAAACGTAGTAAGTCATCAGATCCTGATGGATTACATCCACGATCGCTGTAACCCCTAGGAGGCACTATTTCAAGATCATTCACAATGCTGTTCAATATTCCCTTCTCTCAAACTCAACACCTTAGGGATTAAAAGGATAGACCAGTAAGGTCTACACTTAAAGTACGGAGAAAAACAGATCGCATCTAACTACGGACCTGTCAGTCTAACTAGCATATTAATTAGATTAATTAGAAAAAATAATTCGGAGCAAGTAACTAGGTCACGTAGAGTCATACAACCTGTTAACACCTGAGCAACATTGGTTCAGAAATAAGCATTCATGCCTGGCTAACTGACCAATTGCTAGAGAGAATTGTTTGGTAGCCTATGATAACTATTTGTCTATCAATGTGATATTCATAGATTTTAGTAAAGCGTCTAATATGATTTCTCACCAAGGGTTTATGTAGAAGCTATCAAACTTTCGAATAACAAATGTCAAACAAGAACGGATAAGAAACTTTCTCTATAGTCAAAGATAGAGCGTCAGGAAAAATCGTTTAGAAATTAATTTTAGATTGAGTGTGTTAAGCCATCATGAGCCTATATAAATTGTTACTGTAGTTAATAGAAGGTACGTCAACCTCGTGACTGCCGAATAAACTCGACTTTCACTATGAGGCATTGTAATTCTTCTGAATGAAGAAACTTCAACTTCAAGGGCAGAGTTTAAATGGTTAAAAATATTTATTCTGGTTAGCATCTTTTTAGCAAAGTTATTTTATAGGGATGTGTATATCAACTTCTTGCTCTACCCTCCTCCTTTACTCGGTCTTGGAAACGGCAATAACCCTAGAAGAGTTGTAGCTGTTATGGAAGAGCAGGAGTACCGGACAACATATCACCAGAAGCACTGAGGTCAGACATAGAAGAAGCTGCAAACACGCTTCACATTCTATTTAGAAAGATTTTGGAGGGAGAATAAATGCCACAGACAGACTGGTAGGAAGGATATCTCATCAAGATACAAAAGAAAGAAGATGTGAGCAAATGTGAGAACCACAGTACTATCAATATCAGGAAACGTTTTCAACAGAGTGTCGTTAAACCGTGAGAAAAATTCAGTAGACGCCCAACTTCGAGATCAACAGACGGGATTGCGTTAAGATCGGTTATGTGCAGACGAAATCACGACACTACGGATCATAATTGGACAATCAATTGAATCGGACAGGTCACTATACATCAAATTCCTTGGTTGTGAGAAAGCGTTCGACAGCGTGGATATGAGAACATCATAGAAGCTTCTTTGACATTATGGATTGAGTAGCTGAGAATATCATAAGCATTATACGGAATTGATGCGACGGGCTACACTGCACGATAGTGCATGGTAGACAGCTGAAAGTTACATTCCAAGTGGGGACCGGAGTCAGACATGACAGCTTACTCTCCTCAGTCTGTTACCTCTGGTGGTGGACTGGATTATGAATACCTGAATTTCTCAGTCAAAGCACGGAATAAAATGGACAGATCAGAATCAACTAGAAAATTCGGACATGGCGGATAAACTGGCATTTCTATCCAATACACATGAATAAATGCAGGTCAAGGAAACTAGTGTAGCAGTAGCTTCTGTCTGCATCATTAAGCCTCAACATACAGAAGGGATAATGTAAGATCATCAAATACACCACAGAGAGCTGCAAGCTAATCACACTTGGTGCAGAGGCTGTGATAGAACTGGAAAGTTTCACGTACCTAGGAGACATGATCAATAAACAATGAGAATTTGATGAAGACTTAAAGGCGAGGATTGGCCAAGTTAAGACTGCATTCCTACAGTTGAAGAACATATGGAACTCAAAACAACTGCCAACCAATATAAAAATTATAATCTTTAATATGAATGTTTAGTCAGTTATTTCTGCTGTATGAAGCTGAAACTTCGGGAACTACCTCAACTATTATCATAGTGATACAAGTATCTATAACCCCCCGTCTGCTTAAGATGCTGAGTGTCCGCTGACCGGATTCCATCAGCAACATCAAAAATGTTCTGAAGAGGAAGTGGATAGAATATGCATTACGTAAATCATTAAAATGAATCACGAGGTATGCGCACAAATCGTATCCTGAAGGAAAATGGAACTGTATATGGCCAGGGAACACATTGAGTCGGGAATCGAAAGCATACATGAAAAAGATGAATAGTAACTATGAAGAACTGTGAAGGAATACCTAAGACACAGTTTTATGGAAATTACTGGTAGGTGGCCTTTGTTCCTCTATCAGGTGTAACAGACTTAATTCAATGAGTAGATGTTAAACTACATCGAATACGTCAATAGATAACAGTATCCTTTCAACAGTCCATCACTTCCAGTAACTTATGACTTAAAAACAACTTGACATTGTAATATAACAACTACCAAAGGTTTTCAAGTCTAGTAATCATTTACAACAAAAAAACAACATTCAAATATTATATGGCTAAAATCATGAGTCAATTGAAACTAGACCACTATGGAAAACCTGAAAGCACTGGACGGCCGTTTCGTTCTATTGTGGGACTCCTCAGCAGTGCGCAGTCACGATCCCGCCTTCCCAGCGAGTACCTAACCGATAGATCACTGAGCCGGTCGGCATCCAACGGTGTTAATGTCTAACCTCATCAATTGTCTTCAGTGAGTTCCTATCTTACAGCGGCCGTCCAGTGCTTCCAGGTTTTCCATGACGGTCAAGCTTCAATTGACTCATGATCTCAACTATATAAAATTTTGATAATATACTCACTAATAACTGGCTCCATGAGGTAATTCCTGAAGTTCTAGTTAGAAGTCGTGAACAGTGGAGCTAATTCATGTTAGGTAGAGACAGGTATCTAAGTAATATGGAAGATAGTCGCGCAATTTCGAGGATTGGTTGCGGTTAGATATTAACACCGTTGGATGGTCTATCGGTGAAGTGCTCTGGTGCGATACTGTTAGGTCCTGGGTTCGAATCTCGTGAGGTGGGATGGTGGATGCGCACTGCTGAGGAGTTCCACAATAGGACGAAACGGCCTTCCGATGAGTTCAGGTTTTCCTTGGTAGTCTAGTTTCAATTGAGTAATGATCTCAACTCTATAAATTCACTAAAATCTCCACAACCCCCCTCCTCTTGTAATATTCAAATACTTTAACAAACAAGATTTTATATGATACCCAGAAACAAAAAAAAACAAAAAAAAAACAAACTTACCTTTTGTTAAAACATGAGTTGCTAATTTTACTTGTGAAAAATTACCTAAACCAATTGTATTTAATATACAATAAAGACCAAGTCCATTTGATTTAGGATTATCATTGTTGTTATGTTCAATGGATGAATACTTATTATTACCATTACCATTAGTATTACTATTACTATTATTACTATTATTACTATTATTAGTATTATTACTTGATTGTGATTGATTCTTGGCATGACTTATATTATTATTCTTATCATTTGATATACTATTCATTAAATATGATCTTGATATCATTGATGTTAATGAATAAGATAAGTGAGATGATCTATTCAATAGATTTCTATCTTCTATCATATTTGGTTCAGAATGATGATAATTCAATAAATTTGATGTTCTCGTTGTACTCGTTGTTGTTGTTGTTGTTGTTGTTGTTATACAAGTCAGTGATGTAGTATCTATGATCATATTGTTACTAGGCAATCTATCATTCTTATTATAATGATTATGATTACTATTCATAGATATTGTCTTTATTGATTGTTTATTATCATTGTGATATATAATAGGATTGTTTAATCGATTTATTGATTTATTATATCGTTTATCAATAATTGGTACCGCACGTTTTAAGGATGGTGTATTCAGGGTTGATAAATTATTAGTTTCTAAGGTATTTGATAAGTTATGATTATTAACATTCATTATTGATTTTTTATTGATTATTAATTGTTGAATATAATTATAATTTATTGATTCATGATTGATAGAAGTATTGATTGATTGATTAGCTAATTGTGTAAATTGTTGACCTAATTTATCAATGGAATCATTAGAATAAGTGAATGAATTAAATAATTCCGTAGAATATGAATTAAAATGATGATTATAAAGGGATATAGTGAACCAATTATACTCCTTTGGATGATTATTTATAGGATTATTGCTATTTATACTACCATTTATACTACTATTAATACTACTATTATTGTTATTGTCATCATTAGTAGAATGATTATTATTGGTTATCATATTCATTCACTTTTATTCTTGATGTATTGGGAACTTGGGACTGGTTACATAGTGATATGCATACTGAGCGTAGTTACATAACAAACAAATTGGGCGGGAATCAAGGAAAATCCAAACTAATCGAAATATGTAACTATCTATCTATCCCCCTATCTATGGCTCTCTCTCTCTCTCTTTACGAATAGTAATTAGATTCGTTTAAAACAAAAACAAACTCATTGTTGAATATGAATGTTGGTTTGTTTGTTTATATCATATGATCAGTAAATAAAATCAAAAGTATATAGTAGGTATTGTTACACCCAAAATAAACGGATCATTTTCCCCATATTTCATGATTATATAATAAATCCTTTCTGGATTGAATTTTGATTGGTTCATTGAAATAACCAATCAAATTTTAAAAAATTTAAAAAAAAAGAAAAAAAAAAAGAAAGTTCAAATTTAAAAGTCATTTGTAATCACGATCAGGATTGTTTATATGAATTGAACTAGAAAACCTTGAGAGACAATTTGGTTTATAGTTTCCTATTCTTCTTTTTTCATTGATAAATTTGATGAAATCAAGAATAAAGAAAAAAAAATACCGCAGAATAATATGAATTTATTACTGTTTTACGGTTTGTCGTAAGTTTCTTAAATCAGAAGGAGTTTTTGTTGATATTTCAGTATTATCATAGTTGAAATCATCAGTCGATTGAAGCTAGACCACTATGTAAAACCTGGAAGTACTGAACGGCCATTTATTCCTATTATGGGACTCCTCAGTGGTAGTGCGCATCCATGATCCCGCCTCGCCAGATTCCAACCCAGGACCTACCAGTCTCACGCCAGAGTACTTAACCGATAGACCACTGAGTTGGCATCCAACGATATTAATATCTAACTTCAATCAATCCACGAAGTTGAGAAACCGTTAATCAATTGTCTTCAGTGAGTTGACATCTCTACAACAGACTTTATTGAACTCCACTGGTCACTGCTTCTCCTTAGAACTCAGGGAAACATTCCTTACAGTCAGTCACTAGTGCCTAACATAATAATGTTTTCATAAGTAGAGAATAATTATAAGGACTATAATTATATGGCTCATCGGTCTAGAAGTTAAGCGCTCGCTCAGGAGACTGATAGGTCATGGGTTCGAAATCTCGCGAAGCGGAATCGTGGATGCGTACTACTGAGGAGTCTCAAAATACGATGTAACAGTCGTCCAGTGCTATTAGTATATAGGAACTAAAAGAGATAATCGTCTGAATATTTATTGCTTTCGTATATAGAATATCCAAAGATCAAGTTGATGTTCATATATCAAACAGGAATCGAATTCTGGCATGTATATATCAAAGCATATACTATGGAAGAATAGAAAAGATGATTTTTTTCCACATCTACGAACATATTTCACAGAAGTTGAAACTAAACTGACAAAAAAATTTTCAATAATTCAATCACAGTAATCATTAAGCTGGTAAACTAACTTTTCTGAGATTATTATGTAAGAATCTCCCTCTTTTATTTAAGAAACTTTAATGAAAATTATATTTTCCTCTTTCTTCTAGTGATTAACAGGATTATGAACATCACGACATGTGACGAGAAGCACTGAATACAATGGACATCTTAGAATCAATTAGACGATTTGAACTTCGCAGATGACCAAGCCCTCCTATCTCATACACACGAACAAATACAGACGAAGACAACAAATGTAGCAGCAACCTCTGCATCAGTAGACCTCAACATACACAAAGGAAAAAGCGAGATTCTCAAATACACTACGAAGAACGTCAATACAATCGCACTTGATGAAGAAACTCTGGAAGATGTGGAGATATTTACGTACCTAGGAAGCATCATTGAAAAACAAGCAGGATGGGATGCAGATGTAAAGGCGAGGATTGGCAAAGTAAGGGCAGCATTCTTACAGTTGAAGGACATATGGGACTATAAACAACTGACAACTAATTTCGAAGTGAGAATCTTCAATACGAACGTCAAGACAGTCAGTCCCACTGTACGGAGCTGAAACGTGGAAAACTACTACATCCATCGTCAAGAAGGTACAAGTATTTATAAGCAGTTGTCTACGCAAAATACTCAACATTCACTGATCGGATACTATCAGTAACAGCGTTTTATGGCTAAGGACAAATCAGCTTCCAACTGAAGAGGAAATTAGGAAAAGACGTTGGAAGTGGATCGGACATACATTGACGAAATCACCAAACTGTATTACGAGGCAATCCTTAACTTGAAGTTCGGAAGAGAATCGGAAAAGAGGAAGGTCAAAGAACATATTACAGCAGTAAATAGAAGCAGATATGAAAAAGGATTAATAACGACTGGAGGAACTGGAAAGGATTGGCCAGTACAGATTTGGATGGAGAATGCTGGTGAGCTGCCTATGTTCCTATACGAGGGATAACAGGCGTAAGTAATTAAGTAAGTAATTCTTACTTATAAACTTCAGTTAACTAGTCTATATTACATAATCGATTTTTTTGTTTCCAGAAGGAAATCAAGTTTATAAATGGTAAAAATTGTTTGAAATATATTTTAGAATAAATATCTAAGAACATTTTGATATTATAATGAAGTAACTTTAAAAACAAAATTAACTAACCGAGTACTTACTTACTGAGTTACTTACTTACCTACGCCTGTTACCCGTCGTGGAGGAGCATCGGTCACCCACCAGCATTCTTCATCCAACTTAATAAACAGATGAAAAGGAGTGGAGTGGCCTTTCTAGGGCAATTGCTTTCGTAAATCATCGTGCATTAAATGTTCTTTGTTCAGAAATTATCATGAAAGACTTTGAAATGTCAATAATGTAACCATTGGTTAACAGATAACGTGCAATTGCACTACTGAAAACGTGCTTGCCTCTTAGTTTATGTTTCTGTGAAATTCATTCAGAGATGCGGACAAAAACACCTCCATTCCATCCGCAATTGAATGGCAGGTAGAACGTTTTATTGGTACGTTCAAAAATGCTCTAAAAAAATCAAGAGGGGAGGGTACCACCGAAGACATCTTAGAGAGGTTCCTGTTTATCTACCGTTCTACACCAAACCCTCAAACAACAAATGGGGTCTCTCCAGTGGAAGCGTTACTTGGCAGAAAAACAAGGACACATTTCGATGTCATCCGTCCGACGCCATCTCGTGAGCCCCAATGAAACTTATCGATGGAGAAGCAGTTCAATCGACACCATGGGGCACAAAGACGATTGTTCACGATGGGTCAAAAAGTACTTGCTATGGACTATCGTGGTAAACATCCTATGTGGACAGCTGGTCGAATCGTGAGAAAGAAAGGTAATGTGGTTTATGAGGTGACAGTTGGCTCAGAAGTTTGGATACGTCATGCTAACCAAATGAAAGCAACTTCGATAGCCAGCAGCGAGAATCGACATCAAACACCACTTGACGCTCTGCTAGACACCTTTGAAATCAAAGCGCCCGGAACAGACAGGTTAGTTTCTGTGCTAGCAAAGAGTGATACAACTTCCTTATTACCTAGACAATGAACAAATCGAAAGCACAGGCCAGTCACTTGGTTGCAGTTGGATCCTAGCACCAGATCCTACGAATCTGCTCAAGGGGGAGGTGTTAACGGGACATAGATTGGATTGAAGCATGTTTCATACATGATGGGGTTGCTGCGAGCTGATTGGCTAATTCCAAACTAATCAGCTTTGGCAATGTATTGGAGAAAAATCTAGAAGCTTCTTATGTATATACTATAAATATATGAAGCTTATTCAAACTAGTGATTTCTGTTCAACGTGTTCTAATTTTGGGATCTTGTTGAGTGTCATTTGTATAAGAATACTAAACAATAGGAATAGCTGGGTCGTTTATATTAGCAAAAATACAATTATAACATCTATTTATCCATGAAAACTACCTAGACTGTAATCATTAATAATCTATGTATTCATTACATAAAAGCATTGTAGTATACCATTATTATCATATATACCCGTTTTGTATCATATAAATGCTTCTGATATGATGTTGAGATTAAGTGTTTTGTTGCACTTCAGACAGATTTATTAAAGGATAAATTTATGAACTTGTATCGACTAAGATATGGGACTTTCAAAGGTTTATATTCTCTGACTGATGCTATTTTCATTAGTATTGGGTTGTGAAGGTTATATTGAATTTTATCGAGATCACGATTTAACCTGAGTTAGACAATTATTAAACACCTAGAAGCAATGTAAGACCGTGTCATTGTAGTATCAGACTTCTCATTAGTGCTTATCCATGAACTCCCAACCGGGAATCGATTTCAGAATCTTCTGTCTAACACAAATGCTTAATCTCTAGACCACTGAAATGGAATTCAGTGGTACTTTTTAATCTAAATAATAAACAGAACAATAAAAGTGCAAGTTTTATTTACTGAAAGTCTAAATATTTGTATGTTCAGAAAATGCCTCGCTTTATATGTAATACAAACATTGAATGAAATTAACATAATATTAAGATATATTATCATAGATACTGAAGTTTTTACAAATAAATGATTAAAATAGGGTTAAATGTGAAGAAAACTAAGGATTAATATATCGATTGATGATATTGATCCTAAAAGATATTAGATACCAATCTAGTGTTACATGCCCCCAAATGCCCTGGTACGGCCGAGAGTGGGGAGAGTCCGCTCTCCCTCTCCAAATGCTCTCACATGGCCAGCGAATATATAGCCTCTGACAAGAAAGTCCTGCTCACTGCCTTCTCGTACCACTGGTGTTGTTTACGAAATTGAGAGGACGAAAAGCGAATGTCCGGCACTTTAACCGGGTTGGTGGACAAGGCTAGTTCACCTAGGGGAGTTGGAAAACCCTGATTCCAAACCAATGGTGTACATGGGCACCAGTATCCTGAGTAAACAAATGGCTTATGAACCTATTGTTGGTCACCAGCTACCATGGAATTGCGTCTCCTCACGATGCTCTACTGCTTTGTGGATCAGATCTTTAGGTCAAAGTCTTCGAGTGTGGCCTCCTAAGAAAACCACCTGCTTCTGTTTGGGCACCTGGACAGTATCACAGCCTTCACACAAATCAAATGAGATTTGTGCTGCGCATATGTATCTGGTGCTTTCTTGTACCAATATTTATGTGTTTGAATAATAATAAATTTTGGAAGTTTAGATGATAATCTATGACTAATAGGTTTAAGCGATTTTTTGTGTAGTTGCTCAACGATTGTATTAGATGATTACCATGAATTAGCGATGGGTTCACCTTTACTTCTTATCCCTGCCTATTTTTTCTCTTACGAGACTAGAAGACGGG